GTTTTAGCTCTCATGTTTAGATCCTTGTTCCATTTTGAGTTAGTTTTTATATGCAGTGTAAGGTAGGGTTTAAGTTGATTCTGTTGCATGTTGACTTCCAGTTTTTCCAGCACCATTTGTTACAAAACTGTCCTTTTTGGCCAGGCATGGTGGCTCATGCCTGTAATCCCAGTACTTTGGGAGGCTGAGGCGAACAGATCACTTGAAATCAGAAGTTTGAGACAAACCTGGCCAATATGGTGAAACCTTGTTTCTACTGAAAACACAGAAAGTTCGCTTGGCATGGTGGCACATGCCTGTAGGTTAAGCTACTGGGGAGGCTGAGGCAGGCGACCTGCTTGAACCCAGGAGGTGGAGGTTACAGCGAGCCAAGATCATGTCTCTGCATTCCAGCCTGGGTGAGAGAGCAAGACTCTGTCTCAAAAAAAAAAAGGAAAAACATGGACTGACTATCCTTTTCCCCGTTGAATAGTCTTGACCCTTCTAGGAAATCAATTGATTATATATGTAAGCGTTTATTTCTGGGCTCTATGTTTTATTCCATTGATATTTAAATCTAGAGTTTGAGAAAGATTGGTGTTAATTTTTTTTTTTTTTTAAATGGAGTCTTGCTCTTATTGCCCAGGCTAGAGTGCAGTGGCACGATCTTGGCTCACTGCAACCTCCACCTCCTAGGTTCCAACAATTCTCCTGCCTCAACCTCCCAAGTAGCTGGGATTATAGATGCACACCACCATGCCAAGCTAATTTTTGTATTTCTAGTAGAGGCAGCGTTTCATCATGTTGGCCAGGCTGGTCTTGAACTCCTGACCTTGTGATCTGCCCACCTCACCATCCCAAAGTGATTAATTTGTCTTTAAATATTTGGAAGAATTCACCAGTGAAGCCTTCTGGTCCTAGGTTTTCTTTGTTGGAAAAGGGCCCAAGGGGCTTGTGGGACACCATTAGGCATATCAACCTACATATCATAGGAGTCTCAAAGGAGAAGAGAGAGACAGGGGGAAAAAAATGAAGAAATAATGGCTGAAAGCTCTGCAAATTTGATGAAATATATGAATTTACAAAGCCCTAAGCCTCGAGGAACTCCAGGCAAGATAACTCAGAAATCTACAGCAAGAATTTTTTTTTTTTTTTTTGAGGCGGAGTTTCGCTCTTGTTACCCAGGCTGGAGTGCAATGGCGTGATCTTGGCTCACCGCAACCTCCGCCTCCTGGGTTCAGGCAATTCTCCTGCCTCAGCCTCCTGAGTAGCTGGGATTACAGGCATGTGCCACCATGCCCAGCTCATTTTTTGGATTTTAAGTAGAAACGGGGTTTCACCATGTTGACCAGGATGGTCTCGATCTCTCAACCTCGTGATCCACCCGCTTCGGCCTCCCAAAGTGCTGGGATTACAGGCTTGAGCCACCGCACCCGGCCTACAGCAAGAAATATTATAGTCAGACTATCAAAATCCAGACAAAGAATTTTGAACGCATCAAGAGAAAAGAAACTTTCCACATACAAGAGATCCTCAAGAAAATTAACAGCTGATTTCTTTACAGAAACCATAAGAGTTCAGAAGGCAGTGGTGTGACATATTTTAAACTTTGAAAGGAAAAAAAAAAACTTCAATCAAGAACTCTATATCCAGCAAAACTATCTAGAAATTAAGATACTTCTAGATAAACAAAAGCTGAGGGAGTTAATTACCAATAGTTTTTACCTACGAGAAATGCTAAAGGGAATCCTTCAGGCTGAAATAAAAAGACACTAAATGTAACTCTAAGCAATTAGAAGAAATAATGGCCACTGGTAAAGGTAACTAAAGCCAGTATTATGTACTTTTGTTCCATAACCCTTCCTTTTTTTCCTATATGATTTAAAAGGCAAGTGCATATGTATTAACGTGGATGTCTATGTTAACGGGCACACAATGTATAAAGATGCAATCTGTCACAATAACAATATAAAGGGAGGGGGCAGAGAGGTGTATGAGCAGAGTGTTGGTATGTTGTTGAAACTAAGTTGGTATTACTCAAACTTAGTTGTTAAAAGTTTAAGATGTTAATTATTATACGATTGCCTTTTAAATCTTGTATGCCAGTTTCCTGTTGCTGCTGTAACAATCAATTACCTACTTCGTGGCTTAAAACAACATACATCTACTGTCTGATAGCGAAGATCTGACATGTATTTTGCAGGGCTAAAATCAAGGTGTCTTCATCTTGTTGGGCTATGTTCTTTCTGAAGACAGTAGGGGAGAATGAATCCATTCCCTTTTGCAGCTTTTAGAAGACACCTGCTTCCTTGACTCGTGGCCCCTTCCTCCATCTTCAAGGCCAGCAGCAGATCACTTTCCAGTCTCTCTCCCTCTGCCATCTTATTCTGTCATTTCTCCATTTCTCACTTCTGCCTTCCTCTTCTAAGGACCCTTGTGACTACATTGAGCCCATCCAGATCATCTAGACTGATCTCACCATCTCAGAATTCTTGACTTAATCACATCTGCAGAGCCCATTTTATTACTTATAAGGAATATATTTACAGATTTCAGGGAGTAGGATGTGGATATCTCTGGAAGCCTTTTTTCTTCCTTTCACACCATATAAACCATTGAAATTTTTAAATACAAAGGGAAATTGTAAAAGCAATTTCTAAAAAATTAAAAACCAATAAATGAATATTTTCAAGTTGGGGGCTTATTCCCACAAACAAAAAGAATTAGGCTGGGAGTGTAGTAGCTCACACTTACAATCCCAGCACTTTGGGAGGCTGAGATGAACTGATCACTTTATGCCAGGAGTTTGAGACCAACCTAGCAACATGGCAAGACCCTGTCTTTACAAAAAATGCAAAAATTAGCTGGGCATGGTGGCAGGCGCCAGTAATCCCAGCTACTTAGGAGGCTGAGGCTAGAGGATACTTGAGCCTGGGAGGTCAAGGCTACAGTGAGCCAATATCCTGCCTCTGTACTTCACACTTCAGCCTGGGTGACAGGGTGAAATGATGTCTCAAAAAAGAAAGAAAGAGAGAAAAGATACAAACATAATACCAAAGAAGTTAAGGCAAAACCCTGTAATCATAAACCTTAACTAGAATTGTCAGTATTAACCCTTTTGTGTGTTTCTTTGTTTGAGACAGAGTCTCCCTCTGTCGCCCAGGCTGAAGGGCAGTGGTGCAGTCTTGGCTCACTGCAACATGCAACCTCCACCTTCCGGGTTCAAACGATTCCCCTGCCTCAGCCTCCCAAGTAGCTGGGATTACAGGCGCCTGCCACCATGCCCAGCTATTTGTGTGTGTGTGTGTGTTTTTTTTTTAGTAAAGACGTGGTTTCACCATATTGGTCAGGCTGGTTTCGAACTCCTGACCTTGTGATCCGCCCGTCTTGGCCTCCTAAAGTGCTGGGAATACAGGCATGAGCCACCATGCCGGACCTAAGCTCTTTTTTTTTTTTTAAAGACATATTAATGTATTTCCTTACCATGTCCATTGTAAAGACCTAGAAGCAATGACAACCCAACAGCAGTAAACACCTAGTGTCCAGACTGTAAAAAAAAACTTGGCTGGAGAAAAACTCACTACTGTGATGACTGGTCTTTTCATTTAGATCTTCAATTCTTAAATGAAGGCCCTAACCACTGACTTGCAATCCAACCATATTCCCCCATTTGTTCCACGTCTCTCTGAGATTGTTATTTTAAACCTTTTCTGACGCCTCAAATGGACAGTGGCCTTTGCCCTTTTCTCACTGAGGTCAAAAGGTCTTGCTCTGTCCTCTGAGTGCTGCTTGCATCTCATTGTGACCCTGAGTTTGAGCAAGTCATTAGACTCTGCATCTATTTCCCCTTCTTTGAAATTGTGAAAATACAAGTGATATGTGCTTAGTTGTGAGGGCTAAATGGGATATTGCATGTGAAATGCTGAGAACAGTGTTTGGCATATAGTAAGAGCTTAGTGAAACTGGGATTTGGAGAAGTTATAGATAATCAGCTAATAGTTCATATGACCAGGTTCAGCCAAGGGCTGCCTCATGCCTTAACTGCAACTTTTCTTTTTACATATAAAACTCTCACATTTTAAATCCTTATTCACTTAACTTCTTACAAGTCAAATGTTGCATTTAACTTGAGTGCAGCTCCCAGACTTCAGTTAGATTAGCCTTATCTGGAGCCACTGTTTAGAGCCTGGGAAACCCTGAATCCATGACCATAATTTACCAGCTCCATGATGTTGAGCAAGCTTATGTAATGCAGCTAAGCTCATGTAGCATTTATTTAGATATATCTGTGTCCTCTGCAAAATAGGGAGGTTCCAAAGATTAAATAAGCTGATGTCTTTTAAGTGCTTATCATAGTGCCAAGGCAGTGCTTAATAGATGCTACACAAATCCACTACTCATCTTTGAAGAGGATTTTTATTATAGGATACATTAATACAGTTTTAGAGAGAGGAAGTTTTAGGCAGTTAGATATTTGTGCCCTTATGTAAGGATTCCTTCTTTTTTTTTTTTTTTTTTTTTTTTTTTTTTGAGATGGAATGTCACTCTGTTGCTCATGCTGGAGTACAGTGGTATGATCTTGGTTCACTGCAACCTCCACCTCCTGGGTTCAAGCAATTCCTTCCTCAACCTCCTAGGTAGCTGGGATTACAGCCACCAGCCACCATGATCAGCTAATTTTTGTATTTGTATTAGAGATGGGGTTTCACCATCTTGGCCAGGCTGGTCTTCTGATCTCGTGATGTACCCGCTCTGGCCTCCCAAAGTGCTGGGATTACAGGCATGAGCCACCATGCCCAGCCCTATTCATTTCTAAAAAAATGCTTCAAGTGTTCATTTTCCACTAGTGAGAGCACAACTATAAAAGGTTTCTAACAAAATTTCTGAAATGATTGCTTCCCTCCTGAAATGCCTAGACTCTTTCCTTGTCATGGCAGGGCAAAGGAGCTTGTGCCATAGTTCTTTGTGCATAGATAGTTTTTTGATGAAACGTTCTCCATTTCTTTCCTCTGAATTTGTAGCCCATGCCGGAACTGCTGTAGGAGGCATCATCTTCTTCTTCACCTACCTCCCATACCCATACCTCATGTTCAGCTACATCCAGAGAAGCTACTTCCAAAAGATTGCCTGTTGCCTGTTCTCAAATGTTGCCATGGCACTGGGAGTCCGATTCATCACTATATTTGAGGAAAGAGGTAAGCCTTATCTTTCCCAGATTCTCTAAGCTGCCTTGATGCTTTGCCCCTTCAAGGCTGAACTTCATTTCCCAATAAACATAACTAGCATGTCCCATTCAGTGGTCCAAGCATTTAGAACATACTCGCAACTGTGGTGGATATTGTGTGGGGCACTAAAGAAAAGTAGAATATGGTTTACCCCAGGCAGCTTACTTTGTAATTGGGGAGAAAAACTAAAGCATATTAAAGAATTAGGAGCCGGGCGCGGTGGCTCAAGCCTGTAATCCCAGCACTTTGGGAGGCCGAGGCGGTTGGATCACGAGGTCGAGAGATCGAGACCATCCTGGTCAACATGGTGAAACCCTGTCTCTACTAAAAATCCAAAAAATGAGCTGGGCATGGTGGCACATGCCTGTAATCCCAGCTACTCGGGAGGCTGAGGCAGGAGAATTGCCTGAACCCAGGAGGCGGAGGTTGCGGTGAGCTGAGATTGCGCCATTGCACTCCAGCCTGGGTAACAAGAGCGAAACTCCATCTCAAAAAAAAAAAAAAAGAATTAGGAAATTATATGCCTATATAATTATATAGCTAAAAAATAGATTTATGATTGTAAGTTGAGATAATATTTTAGAACTTTACAAATCATGCTACATTTTTTACATATATTATTGCCTTTGGAGTCTCTTCTTTTTGTTTTTCTTTGAGATGGTCTCACTTTGTCACCCAGGCTGAGGTGCAGTGGCACAATCATAGCTCACTGCAGCCTTGAACTCCAGGACTCAAGTGATCCTCCCACTTCGCCTTCCCAAGTAGCTGAGATCACAGGTGGGTGCCACCATGCCCAGCTCATTAAATTTTTTTTTTTTTTTTTTTTTTTTTTTTTTTTTTTTTGCAGAGACAGGGTCTTACTATTTTACCCAGTCTGGTCTTTCCCAGACTCCTGGGCTCAAACAGTCTTTCTGCCTTGGGCTCCCAAAATGCTGGGATTATAGGTGTAAGCCACCATGCCTGGCCTGGGGTATCTTGTTTCACAGGTTAGTATAGGGGACCTTCCGTGAGAGGTGTTCTAGCTCCCTTATAAGGTCCACAGTTGGAGTGCAGTCCCAAATTTTCATTTGTCTTATGTTTTTCAAGTTTGAAGAATTCCTCAAAACATCTACAATTTGTTGCAAAAGATTACAGCCCAAATATCAGTCAAACTGTAGGACCCACTGAGCCCTGTGGGGTTTTAGCTGTTACTATTTCCAGTTTCGGTGGTACTCTAAGATGATATACTGTGAGCACTCTAGCAAGCACCTTCGTTACTCAGTGTTGTTAGCTGGTCTCACCAGAATTCTGTTTCCAAATGTTACAGCTTCATTTAGCAGCACATAGCAGGAATAGGAGTTTTAAATTGGATCTAGTTTGTGGATCACTTTGCTGTGGTTGGGATATCCCCAATGACCTGGTTAGAGGTATCACCTACTAATGAATTCTTTAAGCTGGCATGGCCCAAATGGTTTTGGGCTTAAAGCTGTCCAAAATATAATAAAGGATATTAAGTTGGCCAGAATTTATTGAAAGTAAGTGGTTTCCTTTAACAAAGCAATGGTGAAACTACAATTTACAAGTGTTCATGGGAACAAATAGATTTAAAATGCTATATATGACTCCTTATAGGTTAGTGAGTAATTTGTGGGGCCTATATGTTGAAAGTTGAAATAATTTAGGTGGCAGGTTGCAATGAATGAACTCTTAGATTTGCTCCCACTCTAGGGTTCTCTTGGTTTGAAAGTACCCTGCCCTTATAGAGCTTGTGATCAGTGTCCCTCCTGAAAGGCACAGGGTGGTTCACAAGTGCTGTCTCCTGTTACAGCTGAAGGAACACAGATGCATGTGATCATGAGCAGGAAGAAATCCCTAAGGGTATGATTAATGAAAGAGAAATCCAAGGATTACTCAGATCATCTCGCCTATTGAAAATAATTAAAAATATGGGCTAAATTTTTAGTTTCTTAAGAGCATCCCTCAAGAGAATCAAAGTATTTACTATAGCACAAGATAGTGAAGAACCACGAGGCCAAAACCTCAGGCAAACTGGTGACTCTAAAGGGTGAACAGAATACCAAGCCACTTTTGCTCAGAGATCACTTACTAAAAGGAAAACTTGGGGCTTCCCTTTGGATGGCCTTTCCGGGCAAGGGAATCAGACATCAAGGCCCAGGATTTAGCCTAGGTGGAGAGCATACTAGGAGACCCTCTCCACATTAATCTGGGACCCAGAGGGCTACACCTTAGGATAAATATAACTCAAAAATAAATCCAATCATCACAGTTTTGGTTCTTTGTGATACAGACTGTGAAATGGAATTTAGTGTACAAATGTTTATTAGGGAGTGCCCTTCAGATAACACCTGTGGAGAAGAGTAAGGAAAGGGGAAGAAGAAAGACAAGCAGGGGGAAAAGTCCAGCTACAGTGTGGTCCTGACAGCCCTGAGAAGTTAGTTAAAGAACAAAAATGGCCCACATGTGTCCTGCATTGGGTTGAAATAGCTAGGCCTTTACACCTCCATCAGTCACTGGATATGAGCTACCCAAGAAAGGGCATGATGCTGGGCTTGGCACTTTGCAACTGAGACATTCCAAAGGGTCTGGCAGCTAAAAGCCCTCTGCCATAGCACTCCCAACAGAATCAGGAAAGTACGTCGCCATATCCATATACCATTTCTTCCTAACCCAGAGGACCTCAGGGAAGGTTGTCATGGCCCTGACCATATCATGGAAGAAAAACAAAGAAAAAATTTTCCCTGAAAAATTGTGATTAGCTAGTTCTTTGGAGGTATTGCAGTCCAGATTCATATTGCATGAGTAGGCCAGGTAACTTTAAGCAGTGAAATGATTTAAGATTGTTCTGGAATGATAGAGCACCCACCTAGGTACCTGGCAGAAGCAACTGCACATCCTTTCTGGAGGAAGACCTTTTCATCCTACACCATGGTAAATCCTCACAAATAGTTTTTCGAGGTCAATAAGCAACACAGTAAAAAGTAATTAAAGATATGAGAAGGAAGGATCAGTAAGCTCACTAGACAGTTGGAAAATTAAAAAATAAAAAAAAAGATATGAGGAGGCCAGGTATGGTGGCTTACGCCTGTAATCCCGGCACTTTGGGAGGCCAAGGTGGGTGGATCACGAGGTCAAGAGATCAAGACCACCCTGGCCAACGTGGTGAAACCCCATCTCTACTAAAAATAGAAAAATTAGCTGGGTGTCGTGGCGTGCACCTGTAGTCCCAGCTACTCGGGAGGCTGAGGCAGGAGAATTGCTTGAACTTGGGAGGTGGAGATTGCAGAGAGCCGAAATCCCACCACTGCACTCCAGCCTGGTGCCTAGTGACAGAGCAGAACTCTGTCTCAAAAAAAAAAAAAAAAAAAAAAAAAAACAAAGATATGAGGAAATAAACCACCATAATGAGAACTAACAGAAGCAGAAGAAAGTAGAAACAGATTCACAAAGGCCTCAAATTTTTTAATTATCAGAACACAGATTATAAAACAACAATGCCTATAAGCTTTTTAGAAAGGGAAGCTTGAAAAATATCTACAGGAATAGGAATAGGAACTATTAAAAGTGACCTGGAAAGTATGAAAAAGGTGGAAATAACAAATACTTCTAGAAATGCAAAGTGCAATAACAAGATTTAAAACTTAGTGGATAGTTTAATAGTAGATCTGAAACAGCTGAAAAGAGAATTAGCAAATTTGAAAAAAGTTAGAGGAAATAATCCAGACTGTGGTATAGATGATAAAAAAAGATGTAAAATATGGAAGATAGTTTGAAAGAGACATGCAGAAAAGAGTAAGTAGGACTCACATGCTTCAGTAGGAAGAGAAAGAGAGAATAGGGCACAGGGAATGTATTGAAAGAGATAGGCCAAATCTGTTCTAAAACTAGATTTCAGGAAGCCCAGAAAATCTCAAATAAGATTAATAAAAAGAAACTTTACACTAGGCATATCCATGTAAAACTGAGCACAGCAGAGGTTGAGAAAAAAATCTTAAAAGTAGCCCAATTAAAAAAAGACAAATTGATTTTTAAAGGCGCAATAGTGGCTGATCGTGGTAGCTCATGCCTGTACTCCCAGCACTTTGGGAGGCTGAGGTAGGTGGATCACCTGAGGTCAGGAGTTTGAGATCAGCTTAACCAACATGGTGAAACCCTGTCTCTACTAAAAAGATAGAAAAGTTATCCAGGAGTGGTGGCGGGCGCCTGTAATGTCAGCTACTCGGGAAGCTGAGGCAGGAGAATCGCTTGAACCCAGGAGGTGGAGGTTCCAGTGAGCTGAGATTGCACCATTGCACTCCATCCTGGACAACAAGAGTGAAACTCCATCTAAAAAAAAAAAAGCAATAGTGGGAGCCTGAAAACAGTGGTATTTTATATTGACTGTATAAAATAATAATGATAATAAAAACAAAGATGTCTTTGAGTTTTTTTAAAGGGGTAGAATTAAAATACAAAAGAGGGGTTTTTGAGGGGATAAAGTCAGAAATCAAAAGGGAATAAATACTTTCTGGAAGGATAGTAGAGATACTGATTAACTTTAGACTTTGCTAAGTAAAGTATACATGGTATAATTCATTACCATGAGACACACACCAACAGTCTAGACATAGTGCATAACTTTCAAACTAGTGGAAAGAAAATGTAATAACCAATAGATTCGTTGAGTCAAAAAGAAAGTAAGGAGTAGGGAATGGAGAGGAATTATGTCACATGGCCACCTCTACTCCAAAGGAAACAGAAATCAGGGAACAGGATTGTCATACTCAATTTAGAACAAGATCAAAAAGATGTGGGGCCAGGGCGGGTTTGCCAAATTCATTTCAGCAGCTCCCTGCTCTGAAACGTAATGAGATATACTGTGGAAAGAGGTAATATCTAACTTCTACTCAATCCAGATTTCAGCAGTTTATTTTTCTTTTCTATTTTTTTTGTTCTTTTTTCAGCGTTAATTTTTGTTTATTTATTTTGAGACAGAGTCTTGCTCTATTGCCCAGGTCGGAGTGCAGTGGCACAATCTAGGCTCACTGTTGAAGGGATTCTCCTGCCTCAGCCTCCCGAGTAGCTGGGACTAGATGCGTACTAGCTAATATTTTTGTATTTGTAGTAGAGATGGGGTTTCACCATGTTACCCAGTATGATCTTGGGTAACATGGTGAAACCCCATCTCTACTAAAAATGCCAACACGCCTAGCTAATATTTTTGTATTTGTAGTAGAGATGGGGTTTCACCATGTTACTCAGGATGATCTTGATCTCCTGACCTCATGATCCACCTGCCTGGGCCTCCCAAAGTGCTGGGATTACAGGCATGAGCCACCACGCCCAGCCCAGCAGTTTATTTTTTAATGGAACTTGATTTTATTCTAAAATTTATGTAGAAGTGTAAAGGAACAGAAAAAAGAAAAAAAAAAAAAAAAAAAAAAAAAAAGGCCAGACAAGTGCATTGTTACATGTTAGAGAAGATACTACAGAACAATGGGGATTCAATAAATGGTTCTGTGGCCACTGGATAACTTTATGGAGCAAAATGAAATCAGACTCCTAATTCACACCATACAGAAGTCAATTCTAATTTCAAAAAAAACTATAAAGCTTTTTGGAGATGATATAGAAGGATATACTGATGTCCTTGAAGTAGGAAGGATTGCTTAAACAAGACACAGAAATAACCATAAAGGAAAAGAATGAAAAATTTGATAATAAAATTAAGGTTTCACAAAGAGAAGGAAAAAGATAAGCTAGAGGGGGAGAAGATACTTGCAACACACTGAACTGACAAAAGACATATTCAGAATACTTAAAGATCTCATGTAAATTCATTAGAAATCTGATTTTGTGGTTTAAAAAACGGGCAAAAGGCCAGGTGCGGTGGCTCAAGCCTGTAATCCCAGCACTTTGGGAGGACGAGGCGGGTGGATCCCAAGGTAGAGAGATCGAGACCATCCTGGTCAACATGGTGAAACCCCGTCTCTACTAAAAGTACAAAAAATTAGCTGGGCATGGTGGCACATGCCTGTAATCCCAGCTACTCAGGAGGTTGAGGCAGGAGAATTGCCTGAACCCAGGAGGTGGAGGTTGCAGTGAGCCGAGATCGCGTCATTGCACTCCAGCCTGGGTAATAAGAGCGAAACTCTGTCTCAAAAAAAAAAAAAAAAAAAGGGCAAAAAGGCTCACACCTGTAATCACAGCACTTTGGGAGGCCAAGGCTGGTGAACTGCTTGAGCTTAGAAGTTCAGGATCAGCCTAGGCAACTTGGCAAGACCCGTGTCTCTACTAAAAATGCAAAATAATAGCCAGGCATGGTGGTGTGTGCCTGTAGTCCCAGTTTCTTGGGAGGCTGAGGTGGGAGGATTGCTTGAGCCCAGGGTGCAGAGGCTGCAGTGAACTGACATTGCATCACTGACAGGGGTCTTGGCATGTTGTCAACTCAGAATTCTACACCCAGCGAAAATATCTCAAAAATTATAGAGAAAGACTCTCTCAAATAAACAAAAACTGAGAGAATTAAGAACTAGCAGACATGAGCTCTTTAGGCACAAAGAATCAGACCAGACAGAAACTTGGATCTACACAAACAAATTAAGAGCAGTGAAAATGGAAAACAACTTATTTTTTCTAATTTTTTTTTTTTTTTGCTTTGAAGGAGAGCTGACTGTCTAAAGCAAAAATAGTAGCAATGAATTGTGTTTATAGCTTATGTAAAAGTAAAATGTCTAACAATCATAGCATAAAGTTTGGGAGGTAAGAACTGGGAATGTATTGTTGTGAAGTCCTTATACTATACATGAAGGAGTATAATATTATTTTAAGATAAACTCTGACTAATTAAAGGTATATATTGTAAACCTTAAAGCAACACTAATTTTTTTTTTTGAGATGGAGTCTCGCTTTGTCATCAAAGCTGGAGTGCAGTGGCGCTATCTTGGCTTACTGCAACCTCCACCTCCTGGGTCCAAGCAATTCTCCTGTCTTAGCCTCCTGAGTAGCTGGGACTACAGGCATGTGCCACCACATCCGGCTAATTTTTGTATTTTCAGTAGAGATGGGGTTTCACCATGTTGGCTAGTCTGGTTTCGATCTCTTGACTTCATGAGCCGCCCACTTAGCCTCCCAAAGTGCCGAAATTACAGGCATGAGGCACCATGCCTGGCTTATACTAAAGCCAGGCATGTTTTTTTAAGTTTAAATAATAAATCAATAGTGGTGATAAAATGAAATCCAAAAAATTCTCCATTAATGCAAGAAAAGCAGACAAAGAAAAGAAAAAAGAAAAAAACAAAGAACGCTTCAGAACAAATAGAAAAAAAGCTGGCAAGATGATATATTTTAATCCGGACCATCAACAATCATACTAAATGTGAGCGATCTAAACATACCAATTAAGAGCAGGTTGAATTAAAAAGGCAAAACCCAACTATATGGTGCCTTGTAAACATCAGTAGGGTGGGTGCGGTGGCTCACACCTGTAATTCCAGCACATTGGGAGGCTGAGGCAGGTGGATCACTTGAGGTCAGGAATTCGAGACCAGCCTGGCCAACATGAGGAAGCCCCATCTCTACTACAAATACAAAAATTAGCCGGGCGTGGTGGTGCATGCCTGTATTGGACACTGCATACTTTGTATTGGATGAGGAAGTACCTGACCTTTGTGAACATCAGGCTGCAGCTTTGGAATCCGGAGGTGTGCAAGATGTGTTTATAACCCAAAGATAGAGTAAAAGGCAGAGTTCTTGGTGGGCACACAGACAGACATACATTAGAGAATCTCATCACTGGAAGAGCCTTGAAGGTCACCTGGCCCTGCTCCTCACAATGTAATCTGCAGACCAGCAGCATCAGCACTCCCACAGATCTTGTTAGAAATGCAGAATCCCAGGTCCACCCAAACAGACCTGATCAGAATCTGTGTGTTAACAAGATCCCAGCAATTAGGAAACTTGTTAAAAGTTTGAGGACAAGAAGCATGGGTACACGTGCTTCTTGGGTAAGGAACTATCTGTGCTGATCTTTGAAATAAGAATTAGCTGAGCAAAGAAGCTGGTGAACAGTGGGAAAATGCTGCTGTAGCAGGTGCAGATTAATGCAAGAAAAGCAGAAAAAGAAAAAAAACAACAACACTTCAGAACAAATGTGTTCTGGAGATGTGTTTTGGACAGCCCAATTCTTACTTCTTGGTGCCAGTGAAAGTACTACCAACTTTTGACAATAATAAAAATGTTTTATCTTCTAGGAGAAACTTCTCTAGCTTTTCCTTTCCCTGTGGCTAGCATTGGTCCCACAATGCCTCAGACACAAATAGTCCAGTCTTGTCATTGGCCTGTTTCATGACTAACTATAAATTTCTGGTAACTCTTCTCTGTTGTTTTGGTTTTTTTGTTTGTTTGTTTGTTTGAAACTGGATCTGTCTATGTTCCCCAGGCTAGAATGCAGTGGCTATTGACAGGCATGATCACTGATTGCACACTATAGCCTTGACCTCCTGAGCTCAAGCTCCCACCTCAGCCTCCCCAGTAGGCTATAAGTGTGCGCCATCATGCCCAGCTTCTTCTCTGTCTTTGATGTGATGAGTGATGTTCTTCCTTTATAACAGGCACAGGCATCCAATGGGGGAATATGGGCAGTGTACGTGGAGAGTTTAACTTCACTCAGGTGCTGCTGCTGCTGCTGCTGGACTCTTTCTTATACTGCTTAATAGCCTGGTATGTGGAGTCCATCTTTCCAGGGAAGTATGGTACACCCAAGCCTTGGTACTTCTTTGCTCTGGTGAGTATTGATGCTGCTGTTTTGTAGGTTGACATTAGACTTTTTTGTGTGTGCCATCAGTACTCCTACTCCTCTTGGTGATGTCCTGATTAAAATGTCAAACTCAGGAAATCTCTAACCTGGGTTCATCCCAAACCTATCCGCTGTGGTTACCAGTGGAGCATAACTAATGGTATGTCTCAATGTCTCTGACTCTGGCCTCCATGCTCATGCACTGGGCTGGGAGTAGCCCCATCTGTCCCATGCAGAGTCCCCCTCCAGGAGTGTCTGTGGATGTCTGGCATGTGTCTACTCAAACATCAGGCCCCACATTCTCCCATGAGACCTAATTTCAAACATGCTAGTGTCCTCATGCTGCCTCTTTCCCCAATGAGCTGCACTGTTGGGATGGCCCTGAAGCTCTTCAAGACTTCTGTGACCATCAGTACACTGGCAGGGGACAGAGCATTTGTTAACAACCCCAGGAAGTTTTCAGAACCATTTATTTCCCATGATGACCCAGTTTTTCTTACAAAGCTGAGCTCTTCGTGCCTGATTCTGTCCTCCTAAAGTAGCATCTGGTGGCCTTGCCCATGGGCTTGCCTGCTGATCCTGCCTCTGCATAAGTACTCATTCGGATCTCTACAAAGGCTGCCACACTCACCCTTCTTGGAGTGTGGGGAAATGAGTAGATTGTTAACTCCAGTATTTATCCAGGCCTCTGCCCACAAGGACTATGAGTGCTGACATGATGGCTTCCCTGGTATATCAAGAGCCTGGATAGGAGGCATCTTTTGTGGCTCCATCCTCGGGACCATGGGTTGTAGGTTGAAATGCAGTTGATTAGTAATGAGTCCATGAACAAGTTGCTTAACTTCTCTGGGCAGAGGGTGGGGGTGTTCTAATATACCAAAATATCTTCCAAAAAGGGAAGTCACTTTGCCTAAATAATTAATGCATAAATTGATTTCCTCTCCAGCCCTCCTACTGGCATGGAAAGCCTGTATTTGTTACCCAATCACTGCTGGACATGAGGGGTCCTGTAAAAGCTCCAAACAGTGAGTTCATTCAGGAAGAGCCTACAGATTTGATCAAAGGAATTGAAATTCAGCATCTATACAAGGTATCAGCTCACAAACCTCCTTCCAAGAACTCAAGAAATTACACATATAAGCTTCTGTTTTATTCTAACTGAGATTACAATGTACATTTTGTGACTGGGAATTTTAATTCCCTCTGTCATGCTGTCCTAAAAATTAGAAATATAACCTGAAATGTACTGTTTTCTGTCATAAAGTTAAATGACTGGATGAAAGGCCTAGTTGGCCTTTTTTTTTTTTTTTTTTCCATTTTTTTTAGAGGTAGAGTCTCACTGTGTTGTCTAGGCTGGTCTTCAACTTTTGGGCTCAAGAGATCCTCCTGCCTTGGCCTCCCAAAATGCTGGGATTATAGGTGGGAGCCACTGCTCCCAGCCTAGATGATCTGTCTCTTGAAAACAGTCTCCTCTCATCCTCCCACTCCTTGTTAGGGACTAACTGAAATTCAGCCATTTGATGGATAACTATTATCCACCAACATTTTTATATACCCAAATCACATTTTAAGCCAGATATCACTGTTGGCTTCTCGATGTGGAAGTGGAGGCATTTGTTCTTTCACAAGTGTCTGCTGAGTACTTGCTACAGGCAGAGCCCTGGGTTGGCTAAGGACTCCTGCAACAGGATGGCTGGATGTAAGCTGGAGGCTCCCACAGAGCATTTGCTTTGAAATCTTCCATTCTTCAATGATGTAGGACACTCTGTGACATTGCTGCTGCTGCACTTGCACATTGGATGCTCCAGCCCAGCACTCGTGTTGCCTTCTGGTGGGATCCAGAAGATACCATCCTAGCCTAGGGGATTCTGGAAATGGGTGATAATTCCAGCTCCTCTGTGTACTACAGTTAGTACTTAGGAACACTTGACTCTTCAGCCAACTTACTGTGGGGATGTTGTTTTCTTTTCTTCTTCTTCTTCTTTTTTTTTTTTTTTAAGAGATGCAGTCTCGCTTTGTCGACCAGGTTGGAGTGCAGTGGTGTCATCTCAGCTCACTGCAGCCTCTGCCTTCCAGGTTCAAGCAATTCTCCTGCCTCAGCCTCCTGAGTAGCTGGAATTACAGGTGCACACCACCACATCTGGCTAATTTTTGCATTTTTAGTAGAGACAGGGTTTCACCATGTTGATCAGACTGGGCTTGAACTCCTGACCTCATGATCCAACCACCTCAGCGTTCCAAAGTGCTGGGATTACAGGCATGAGCCACTGCGCCCAGCCTGTTTTCTTTTTTCACGTAACTAGTGGTTTGCTGGCAGATGATTTTGACATGATTTCAGCTGCTCCACAAAGACGTTCCAGACCACAGCATCTTCTGATTGATTGATTGCTTGATTGATTTTCCCTGGGTCATTCGTAGCCTATTAGCTTTCTTCTGTGTGTTTATCATTTCATGGTTGCAAGATGGCTACTTGGCCCTCCTATAAGGAAAGATAAAGTTTAAAATGCTTTCTTTTGGCAAGACTTTTCCGTCCTTCTTTCTTTCCTTCCTTCCTTTCTTCCTTCCTTCCTTCCTTTTCCTTCTTTCTGTCTTCCCTCCCTCCCTCTCTCCCCTCATTCCTTCCTTCTCTTTAATATAATAGAGTACCCTTTTTTCTTATTGCCCAGAATTCTGCCACATGGTCACCTCTACTGTAAGGGTAACTGAGAAGTCAGGGAACAGGACTGTCATGCTTGATTTAGAACAACTGAGAAAAGTCTGGGTGCAGTGGCTTGTGGCTGTAATCCCAGCATTTTCGGAGGCTGAGGTGGGTGGATCACCTAAGGTTACGAGTTCAAGACCAGTCAGGTCAACGTGGTGAAACCCCGTCTCTACTTAAAAAATATATACAAAAATTAGCCAGGTGAGGTGGTGTGCAGCTGTAATCCCAGCTACTCTGGAGGCTGAGGCAGGAGAATCACTTGAACCCAGGGGGCAGAGCTGCAATGAGCTGAAATTACACCACTGCACTCCAGCCTGAGAGACAGAGTGAGACTTCATCTTAAAAAAACAAAAAAGAGAAAAGATGTGAGAGTAGGGAGGGAGAGCTTACCAAATGCCTTTCAACAACTTTCCGCTCCCAAATATAAGTACAGCTGATCCTTAAACAACATGATTTAAACTGCTCGGGTCCACTTATATATTTATTTGTTTCAACCAAACAGATTAAAAATATCCACTTACATGTTTCTTTGTTTCAACCAAACACAGATTAAAAATTCAGTATTTAGGGGAATTTGAAACCTGCGAATACAGAGGGCCAAGCAACTTTTTGAGTTGGCGGGTTCCCAGGGCTACAGGGGACTGCCTCCAGGACCAAGTTTGAGTACACATGGATTTTGGTATATGCAGAGGTCCTGGAAGCAGTCCGCCATAGTTGCTGAGAGATGACTGTAGATGGATTGCAGAAGAAGTGACAAATACCATCCAACTATAGTATCTGGACTCCAGACCCCAAACCCAGCTCCAATGCCATTAGACAGGACACAAATAATCTAAAGCATATACTATAATGAGATGCTATTTCTGGGATGTCCTGTAGGATTTTTATTTTCTTCTTTTTACTCAATGTATGAATTATTTGCATAATAGGAAAATCAATGGTATTTAAAATACTGGAGACATTTAACTTGGAAAACAGGCTACTGTGTCTGGGATTCCCTCCTCACATCAACACCTCCTGCAAAAGAGGCAAGGCGCCTTTCTCAGGGGCTCAGCTGAGCCTTTCTCAGGGTTATGCTGAGCAGGTTCTGGCTCCAGAAGCAGAGAGGAGTGCCTTCCATGCCACCACACTGCATCTGGGAGCTCCCAACCCTCTGGTTCAGGTTCTCTACACCAGGTTCCAGGGATCAGGAAGAAGATCCCCATGGAGATTACTCCCGCTCAGCTTCCTCAGCAGCTCCAGGGAGTTAAATGCTAAAAGAAGGGGGTCCCTTTTTAGATTTCCACTTGGATTCCTACTGCTGAGCTTTTAAGAGAAGTTATGTATCTGTGCAGCCTGTCATAAGTTCTTTAGAAATGTCATTCTTGTGTTCAGGTTACACTGTTAGCCAACCTTGACTTTTCCACAGGTATATCACACAGGAGGGACTAAACACATAGCAGTCAACTGTCTGACCATGAACATGTACAGAGGGCAGATCACTGTTCTTCTGGGACACAACAGAGCAGGAAAAACCACCACCTGTTTCATGCTCACAGGTACATGTGTGGGGTCAGCCATCCTGAGGAAGTCCTGAAAAAAAATCATTGAACATATCTAGATTTTTTTGTTTCACCTCCTCTCATTAGATTTCAGTGATATTTTAATATTAAGCATTGCTTGTTGCTTAATATTAAAATATCAACTGTCTGGCTGTTCATTTGCCCTGCACCAGGAAAAGGAAATCTTTGGCTTTCTGTCAATCTGCAAAACTTTATACCATTCACTATCAAGAAGCTGTGATCATTCACCCTGAAGAAACTGATGAAAGAAAAAGAGAACCTATGAACAATGCCTAGCATTTCTTTCTAGATTTAACCTTCCTGTTACAATGCAGCACCACTCATCTCTCAACACATAATCTTTCCATTTGCTTCTGATTGCCACGGGCACTTTTAGAATAATATCTGGTGAGGACCGGGCGCGGTGGCTCACGCCTGTAATCCCAGCACTTTGGGAGGCTGAGGTGGGTGGATCACGATGTCAAGAGATTGAGACCATCCTGCTGAACATGGTGAAACCCCGTCTGTACCAAAAATACAACAAATTAGCTGGGCATGGTGGCGCGTGCCTGTAATCCCAGCTACTCAAGAGGCTGAGGCAGGAGAATTGCCTGAACCCAGGAGGCGGAGGTTGCGGTGAGCCAAGATTGCGCCATTGCACTCCAGCCTAGGTAACAAGAGCGAAACTCCGTCTCAAAAAAAAAAAAAAAAAAAAAAAAAAACCAAATAATAATATCTGGTGAATTACTCCAAAATGATTTGTGTTTCAGAGTAATTTTTATTCTAAAACAACTGTTTCATATCCCATCAACTAAAATAATATTTTGTGAAATTTAGAAACTCCTTTATTTAAGAAATGTGTATTTATTGAAGTCTTAACATGTGTAAAGCTCTGTACAATGCCAGCAAGATGCACTTTCAACCCACAAGGAGCCCTAAAAGCTGACTATTTCCCCCTCATTGCACACAGAACATTAAACTGCTGGGAAGGTATTGCACCTCAAAATTAAGCTGCCCTGATACTCCTCATATGTGGCTGATGATCCTTCCACTGAAGGCATTTGAGGAGCAGCAAAATAGTGAAGCTGGACCAGAGGTGCCTTTGGCCACCCCTCTGGTATCAAAACCGAATCTTGGCTGGGCGCAGTGGTTTATGCCTATAATCCCAGGACTTTGGGAGGCCAAGATGGGTGCATCATGAGGTCAAGAGATCAAGACCATCCTGGTCAACATGGTGAAACCCCGTCTCTACTAAAAATACAAAAATTAACTGGGCATGGTGGCGCACACACCTGTAGTCCCAGCTACTTGGGAAGTGGAGGCAGGAGAATTGGTTGAACCCAGGAGGCAAAGGTTGCGGTGAGCCGAGATTGCGTCATTGTACTCCAGCCTGCGTAACAAGAGCAAAACTCCGTCTCAAAAAATAAAACAAAAATCAAATCTCAGCCCAGCAGGCACTTACCAAGCAGGCTCTGTACCCATCAGGACTGGGGCACAGCAGTGTTTCTGAAAAGATAGTCCTCTTTCAGATATAGACATTGTTGCTCCTGACAGTGTTGACCATTTAGGAAAGGCCTCTCCCCTGTATAGGCCTGTGAGGTTCTCATTGCCTGAAGGGTGAGCTGGCTAGGCTAAGAGATCAAAGAGCCAAGTCAGATATGTGTGTGTTATTCTTCTGTCTCTACCTCATCCCTCTCCCCAGGGAGCCTGTTCTGTTTACTTCTGGATCCACCATGTCTGAATAGTATTTGGCACAGAATAGGCATTCCACAAATATCATTGAATGAATGACAGAATTAATTAATATAATTGCAAATACTGCCAAAATGCAGACTGGGAATGCTGTAT